GGGACATTAAGTTCTTAGACATGAGCTTAAAAATTGATAGAGCAGGTTCCATGCTGTCTAGCCTGTTCTATTATTAGAGAATTAGAGTGAAGAAAATTTTCACACTGTAAGTAACAGGAATATGAGAAAAACCTGACTCAAAACTTATAAAGTGAGAAAGAACAATTTAAGAATTGTAAAGTAGAAGACAAAACAATCCAGGGCATGTAATCTATTATTACCATTTGTAAGGAAGAAACTTATAATTAAATTTTAAAGTAAATTTCAACAGGCTTAGGGAGCTAGCAGACAAAATGGCTAAATTTGCATAGTTATAATATATGGTATATCTAGGCCTCCTGAATTTGACTGCTATAAAATATTTCATATTTTTTCCTTCTTTTATCCCAAATTAGAAAATTTTATTTAAAATTAACATGAAGTATCTTTAATGTTCCTAAAACTATAGACTACTATAAATACATCAAATTGCTTATCAGAACAGTAGAGATAGGTCTTGAATGATTATTATTGGGAAACTCCAAAGTTATGTCTCCTTTGAGGAAAAAGCATCTAGTCATTAACATAAACATATAACTTAGGTGTCTATTTTCCTGACAGATTATGCTTCAGACTGAGCTCTTCGATCCCTTCCAATTATTAACCTTATAAATGATTCTAAACTCCTCAGATAACTCATATCAAAAAATAATTTCTTAAAGTACTGGTCAAGAGCTAGATTTGCATATAAATAGAAATAAAAGAATTTTAAAGTCATCTAGGTCTTTTGTGTTAAAAGAAGCTATATATAACATGACCCCAGGTGGAGGGTAAAGGACAAGGTACACAAAATCTACCTTCTAATTTGTTTTCCTCTTCTCCTCCTACATATATATCATTCAACCTATGACTTCAACAAATTCACTCCTCAACTTTACCTCCGCCAACTTCCATTGAAACCCTACCCCCAATCCTTTCTGATGTAATCTATACAATTTAATTAAAACCAAACACCATAAACTTGTGTTGGCTCCTAGCAATTTAGAATATAAAGATTTCACAATACTGAAAACTTTATCAATGTGATACAGACCTTCTCTGCCAGTTTTTAATATGGTGCTCCAAACATAGAAGCTTGATAATTGTTTACTGTTATAATTTGGCCTAATCAGCAGCCAGAAATTAGGAAAAATTATGAAGTACCTCCTTATTTCCATCCATTCTACCATGTCATCTTTAAACCTTGTAACCAGTATTTCATACTAAAATAAAATGATATTACTTTCTCCAGAAATGGAGATTTCACTAGCTCATGAAGACTGTTTTGTCAGTCAAGCAACACAAAAGAATTTGAGGGTCTATCACTGAGTCATCCATGAATGGCAAATCTCTGGACCCTAGTTTCCTCCTCAGTAAAAATGGGGCAAGGGTGGGGGAGGTTAAGACTAAATGACCTTCAGCTCTAAATCTAAATATAACCTATCTAACCTAGCATTACACTGAAAAGGCCAAATAAAAACTTCAGCTTGTCGCAGTGGCTAGAGTACTAGACTTGGGAATTAGGAAGACAAATTCAAGACTTTCTAAATATGTAAAATGGGGGGAGGGGGAGAACAGCTAGGTGAAGCAGATAGAACACCGGCCCTGGCGTCAGAAGGACCAAGTTCAAATCAGGCCTCAAGACATATAACACTCACTAGCTGTGTGACTCTGGACAAGTCACTAAACCCCACTGCCTAGAAAAACAAAAAATAAGTAAAACGAGAGAGCACTTATTTCACAGTGCAGTTATGAGGACTGAATGAGAATGTAGGAAAGGTGCTTTACAAACCTCAAAGAGCTACATTCAAGTTTTTTTTTCCATAGCATAATGAATACACAATGAGCATCACTTCAAAACAATGTCCCCCACCTTTCCTTTAACCACTCCTCTATGTACCACTAGTTTAAAGTAAATTAATAAAGCCAGAATTTCATTCTACTACTTTTTGGCTATAAATATATATACAACTTTTAAAAGATACAATGGTACTCTGCAATTCCAATGAATTCCCACAGAAAGTAAATATGAAGACTTAAAACTGTTAACAGAAACTATCTTTTTAGCAAGTATACTTTTTTACCTATTACTTAAAAAGGAGAATGTTCAGATTATTGCAATTACTTGCAATATAATGCTTTCTACTCTTGGATAAGGTCTATACAAAAACAGACATGAAGATTATAAAAACTGTCATAACACGCATGTCACTTTCTCTAAAAAACTCAATTTTGTCCTGAGCTGATACTAAGGAAATATTGGAAGTTATTCTATTATTTTAAACTGCTGTTCCTAAGTTAAAACCTCTATGTTAAGATCCAGCCCAGAAATTATCTAATCATACATCACCACTGACTCAAAGGCTTCTAGGAGGCTGCATTAATTCTGACTTCAACTAAGATGTCGATTAAACTATTAATTTAACCCCCAGCAGCACAGAGAATCTTCCAGAAGCATTTAATCAGAATCAAACTAGCCTTTTTTAGTAAGGCTTTAACTCAGCATTGATCCAGGTGGCATGGAACTACCTCTTCTCTCATTTTTCCTAACAACCACTCAGACTAGAGCTGATTATGGTACTCAAGTAACTATAACTGATCATGTGACTGGTTTCCTAAAGCTACCAAACACTTTTGAAATCTTTGAATGCCTTGTCAGTAAACTAGATTATCTATATTTTGTGGCAAATGCTTTCAATTGTTTTTTATTACATCAATATAAACTCTTAAAGTTTTTTGCTCATATGACCATCTGCTTAGCCACCCCTGCAATGGACTGAATCCAGGTGGCTGATATATTTTAAACCAAAATCATACCCAAGCTCAGGCAAAATGTAAATAAGACAGCCAACTAAACTACATAAAGCATTAATTCTCCACAGGCTGGAAGGGATGTTTATCTAGAAGTGTAGCTTTGGGGAAGATAAAGAAAAGATAAAGAAAATTCATGGCATTCCAACTTTTCCTTAGTGAGATATTTAGTCTATTCATTTTTAAAACTGAATTATCAAAGGGATTAACAAATTGACAGCCTAAGTATTTCACTAACATAAAAAATGTTAAAAGACCCTGCCTGAAAGATCTTTAAAGGCTTCCAGGGGGGATTCTAAAGCATATCACACAAGGTGAAAAAGCATGGATGAGTAGATCTGTTTATCTATGTGGATGAAATCAGAGATTCATGGAAACATATCATCATTAAATCATATACACCTTTACACAAAGAGCCAATTTTTTTTAATCATTTTGCTTTCTGAGATTACACATCCTACCATTACCCTCCATAAGCATGGATAAAATTAAAACTTAATTTATAAATATTATAAAACAGTTTGTGGAGATTTTGGCAAGAACTAATTTGATCCTATTCCCTCCTTTTCCTTTACTTTCAAGTCAGAAATGGACAATTACTACCTCTGAGCCTTCCCACTGAGTTTATCAAGTTTATGAACCAATAATTTCCCAGAGGTGGCCGTTGTCATCTAGCCAACCTGTTTGTTACTATAATTTTATACAAAAGATGATGCCAGCACCTTATTCCAGAAGGCAGCACATTAAAATTCTAGTTCCAAGACTCATGCTTTAAAGGGAGCTAAAGGAAGCCATGTATAGGAAAGAGGTAGTATGTATATACATAGTTATCAAGACTAGAGGTTTGCTGTCTTCCTTATTATCAACCTCCCTCATACCCCAATCCTTTTATCACAAGCTTCTCAGACTTCAGGTGGCCTTTTGCTGATTTATTACATCTCACCTTTTTTCCGTCATTCCTGTTTAATTTAACCAGGTTTCACTGGTATAAGTTAAAAGTGCTTTATGATTGTTTTGTTTTGGTTTTTTGAAAGGGAGGAGAAAAGCAAAGTTTATTGAAAACAGAGCCATGTGATAATTTTGCTAAGTGTCAAGACTTCCTGTTGTATAGGTTTCTAACAATAAGAAATTTGTCAAAGAATCTGGTTGCTATTGAATATCCAACACTACATGCTGTTTAAATAATCTTTCTGTACTTTTTAATGTCTAAAACACTACAGTCTAGTCACTGTACCTATTGGCAGCATCCTCATTTCTAAATATATAACTGTCATGAATGTATCATGTCAGAAGGGCCTATCCCATATTATTCTAAAATAGGGCCTAAACTGAGCATAAAAATCACAGAAGGAATAAATAACAGTCACAGCTTCTTCCTGTGAATGGCTATAAAGGCTAAATTTCCCCCCCCTACTTTCAAGGAACTGAGCAGCCTATCTAGAGCTATTCAAACACTTATGGTATTTTCATTTACAAACCATTTTAGAAACTCTACTCAACTTTGTGTAGCTTGTTTGAATTTTTTAGGTGCTTTGTATGATTAAATTATAAAGAGTTCATAACAAATCACAAGATTCAAAAAGATGAAAATCAGATATATTCCGCATCAGATGCCTCATAACATACTATAAATCTAAATATATACCCGAAGTAATTTGAACTAATTTAGGTAAAAAAAATCTAAATTAGTGAAGAATTTTGAGTTCTATTATACTTAAAGAAATTCAATTTTCCTATCACCAAACAAGGACTAGAAAATCTTTAAAGTCTTTCACAAATCTAAAATTTTTTCATTTTAAAAGCACACCCAAGTGTTAGCTACTGGAGGTCCCTTGGGTCTTTAATTAGCAGGTTATATATGACTTATACTTTTATTAACTGATATTAAAAACTGTTCTAAGATATTAAGGACACTGCTTAAAAATCCTAAAGGCAAAGTTTAACTCAACTCTTTCCCAATTACCAAATTCCTACATTAGTCCAAATTAATAGTCTTACTGGATTTGTAAGCGTCAAAATAGAAATGAAGGTGGTCTTTCCTAGGGAAAAGTCTGTTGAGTTCCAAAGTGAAAGTATAACCTAAATGTTATTTCCACAAGACATCAACATCAGGACACTTGAACTTGGGAGTATTTCCTAGTCTTTTCAATGAAACCAACTGGACCTCACACCTCTTACCATCACCCAGGATGGGTTTGCATCTGTTCCGAAGAACCCTTTTGGCTCCAGGTGATCCTGGCTGCTGCTGCTCCAGACTGGGCATCCATGGTGTTGCAGCTTGTAGTTTGTGAGGGGTTGTGTACATGAAGAGCAGGAAGGGATTTCAAGGGGCATAGGAAGAAGATGGCTTTCTGGGAAAATGCCATCACCAACATAGGTGATCAGTAGTACCACACACATTTTATTGCAGCACAGTTTAAAAATGTAACAAATGAAAGATTAAAAATAAAAAATAAAAATAAAAAAAATTAAAAATACAGACGTCCAGAGATGCTCTAAAACAGTTAAGTTATAGATCAGGAAAAATTAGGTCACAGACTTAAGCAGCCAGTCAAATTCTTTGAGTGTGGGGAAGGGGATGGGGGTGAGGGTGGGGTTGGGAGAGAAAAGGTTTATGGGATCAATCCACTTAAAAATGCTAATGCCTCAGCTCTCTCCAAGATTGCAAAACTCCCAAGTCAATCAGGAGATAGGAGAAATGCTCAGGAACATTCAGAAAAACTCGATTTAATCTGGTTAAAAATCAGCAGTGCCATTATCATCATCATCATCACCACCATCATAAGTATAATAATAATAATAATAATAATAATAATAATAATAAATAATAGTAACTAGTAACAACAATAAAAAGGAAATCAGCGGAAAGTCAGGAAAAATGAAAAAAAAAATTGGAATAACTTACTGTAGCTGAAGATCAAAAAAATCTCACTGTAAAAAAACAAAAATAAAAATAGCCCAGATTAGAAAAACGGGAGGTGCAAAAATGTCAAGTCAGTAAAGTTTTATTTCTTTTCTCTTTCCAAAAGCAGTTTCCACAAAAACCGCAAGGGTAAAGTTCTCAGTAGCAGACAAGCAAAGCCCTTTTCACATCATCATTTCAATCTTAAAAATACATGAGGAAGTAGAGAGGTCAGTTTATGAGAGGCTAAAAGGCTCCTCCTCCTCTAACCCAACTGCTGCAGAAAAAAAATAGAAATAGAAATTTTAAAAATTACATCTTAAATCCAGGTCTTGTTTTCGAAAACAATTTTTAAAAAAAAACACCTACAAGTTTGCCGCAGTACGCGCCAAGTTGCATCATTATGTTTAAAATTTCTTTACAAAATCAGGCTTTTGGATGGGAGTGTGTGTGTTTTGGAAGGGCAGGGAGGGGAGGTTAAAAATCAAAGCTGAGCTCCAGTGAGTAGGGATGGGGTTCGCCTTGCTGCCCTGTGAAAGGAGAAGGGACAGATTGAGTCAAAGTTCCTCAGAAATGCTGTGCCCTAAAACCCCCAAGACAGAAGCACTTCACTGTTGGAAAGAAGTTTTAAATTCAACTCCAACCCCATTCTGGCAAACATAAATATCCCACTGGATACATAGGATAGAGATGAGCCTCTTATCACCCCCATTACCTCTACTGTCTTTTTCATAATTCTTAAATGGGAAGGCGACCAGAATAAATCAAGAATACACTGGGGCAAAGGAATATACCTTAAAGAGACTCAAAAAAGATTATATGTAAACATGCATGTTTGTTATAAGCAAAGTTAGGAAAAACTGGCCACTGAATGGAGAAATGAATTATTCTATAGTAAAATAAAGGTTTTTATTAAGACTATATTTTCAAGTTACTTCATCATGAAAAATACTGAAGGCTCATCTCCAAGTCTAAAGACATCTCCGAAAGTAATAGTACACTACACAAACGTGTATTAAGGCATGCAAAACAATTAATCCAGGTGATACTCCACAGGCCACAAATTATCCATGGAATCACTGAGTTCTTAAAAAAAAAAGTAAACAGAAAGGGAGGAAATCCCATAGAATAAGTATGAATAAAATGCAGGGACTTATTGTGCTTTCACATAAAGCACCACTTGGTACCAATGCCAAAGACAAATTAAATTAACAAGCTAGTTGAACCACTAGTTTGTATATTAGTATCCAAGGCTTCCTATGAATCATACAGCACTGTAGTAGATTATGGCTCACTAAAAAGGTTATTGCTTCCTCTTAAAAGTCAACAGGGTATACTGGATGTTAAAAATAAGTAAAACTAGTTACCTTACCTACTATGACACGTTGAATTAGGAGACCCTGACTTTCCTCTTAAAACATAAATGGCAAGGACTTCTGATAACAGACCACAGACTCAGAATTCCATGTTTATCAGTGAACTTCAGTAGATTTACATTATCTACAACAGATTCTTTTTCAAATCAAATTTTATCTACCACAAAGAGAATTAGTTTAGAACACCAAATATAAAAATTATTTGGAGCCACAGTGCTTAAAATTTGAATTGTCAACTTCAAGATCCATTTGCAATAGTATCCCTTTGCCCAGAAGCTAAAATAGAGCAAGAGGAACATTACAAAGAGATATAATTAATCTTTTCAACACTAATGCTTACTCAAGCCCATGTTAGATCTTTTGTTAAACTGATGAAATTACAAAAGGAAAAATATATCGAGAACTTTGTATCCCTTGATGGCAGCTTTACAAATACATCAGAATCGTGCTCTCTATACATGTGTAAAATTTGTAATCAATGAAATTAAATATTTCCACATTATCTTACTAAAGGGATGATAAATTCTTTGGCCTAATTTTATGGTTTTGTTTTTTTTGAGAGAGGAAGGGGAGGTTGAAATTTTATTTTATTCAATCCATTCTTATCTATCAGGCTGTGTTTACAAGAGTACAACAAATTGGGGGGGTGGGGTTGGGTTGGTTTGTTTTTGCTTTTCAAAATAGTTCTATCTTGCCCCAAGCCATTTCTATGCCTCGGGCAGAAGTCCTTATCACCTTAACATTCCAAACATAAAATGACAACAGAGGAAAAATCAAACAATACTGAATCTCAAAAACAAATCCCGAAAATAATTTAACTGAAATAGCCTAGTTATTCAAGAGATTTTTTAGGATATTTGTTCATTTACAGAGTGCTTTTTTTTAAGTAACTTCGTTAAAAAACCCCAAAACAAAAGTTTCCAACAATCAACTCTGGCCCTGGAGAACAGCTGAGAAAATGAACTTCTATTTTTATTAGTTAGGGGTATTATGGGTGTGTATTATTTCATATACTATTAGTTGTAGCTGTGAATGGTTTTGAAGAACCTTTATCCCCTCCTTTTTTAAACCTTTATTATTTGATAAAGGGCTTTCCATCATGTACCTGTAAAAGATTATCTAACTCTATCTTCATTTTAGATAAACTGAAACTCCTCACAAATGTTATTAGTAACTTGATCAAACTTACAGCGGTGACTAATTCTCTTCTTCTCCCTCTCAATCCAGGGCTCTTTATTTGTACTACACTGCCTCCCCATGGAATGTTAATTCCTAACCTTTCCTTCACAGTAATACTTCACAAGGAAAAATATATAGGTAACTCTTTTTAATAAATCAAGACCTAAAACTTTCTTTTATTCTTCAAATGTGATACTATATCTAAAATCTGGTCACATACAGTGTTAACCATAATCAAGTACCATATTCTTAAGGTTTTTTTACCTATTGCAGAGGAAGGAGTAAGGAGTAAAACATAAAGAACACTAAATGTTTTTTCCATTCCCTCATCTAGAAATGTGTGAGGCTGGACTATTTGAAATCCAAAATCTTTAAGATGGTAGAGACATGAAGAATAAGGAATACGGAACATGTTGAGCACAATATGCAGGCAATGTCTATACCTCTCTTCCTTTCCTCATTTCTTCCCTTAGACAACATTAAAATGTTGCCTCTACCCACCCTACTGTAAGGTAAATCTAGATAAGAGTTTTTAAAAACTAGGTCTGTGGCCAGCCAAATAGTTTCAAAGCAACATTTAAACTGAATTCTTTTCATTACATGGTGCTCATGATGATGCAAGGATCCAAAAATGATCCTCCAGTATTCAGTTAGAATTAGAGTCCACTTTAAATTTTCATCTCTTACTAATCGTTCCTGACAAGTACACCTAGATGATTACATTCATATGGAGGATGGATAAAAGACTTCCTATTATAACAGTTTAGTCCACGCTCTATATTCTATTTTTAGAAAAAGTTTAGGGACAGCTAGGAGGCTCAGTGGATAGAGCACAGCCCTGGAGTCAGGAGGACCTGAGTTCAAATTTGGCTTCAGACACATAACACTTACCAGCTGTGTGACAGGGGGCAAGTCACTTAACCCCACTGCCTAGCCAAAAAAGCAAAAACAAACCAAAAAAAAGAAAAAAAATTTAATCACAAATATTTGTGAGTTACTTGCCCTCCTCCACTATTTTCTGTGTTAAACTGGTAGAACAAAGGATCCTTTTATTAGTGTTCTTAACAAGCAGCTAGGGGGCACAATGAACTCTATGTTGGTCCTGCAATCAGGATGACCCAAGTTCAAATTCTGTCTCAGACACCAACTATCTGATCAAGTCACTTAATCTGTTTCCTATCTGTAAAACAGGAATAATAGCACATACCTCAGAGTTGTTGTAAGAACTAAATTATAACATATACAAAGTATAAATGCTATTATTATACCTACAGAGTATCGGACATTTGGCATACAACTAAAGCCCACTCACACTTAAGAGATTTCCTTTACCTTGACTTTTAGTTGCTAGTGGTAAAAAGCTAAAAGTATTAGTTTTAGTGAGACATAGACTAAAAAGCATTTTCTGATCTCTACTGCCTATACTATATTTTACCCTAATTGAAAATTAAGATGGACCAATTTTTAGTAAATTTTTTTTTACAGCTGCAAATTTTAAACAATAAGCTAAGGTAAAAATCGTAATTTCATATATTAATCCCAAATTCGTGTAATTTTAAGTCTCACTGACAATTTCTATACCTAAAATACAGTCTGAAAGTTTCCAGTTTCCTTCCCATGGTCTCTAAAGAAAACTTTTTGCAAGTGATTGTAAGACCCAGCACATTTGTATTGTACTAACTGCATAACAATCTCAATACTGAAATTCCTAAATTCTCTTCTTGGCAATTCACACACTGTCGGCCTCAGTTTCCTCATCTGGGAAATGCAGTTAATACCTACCTCACAGCAAAGCTTCACTAACTATGATTTGTAACCTGCAGATAAAAAGTAGTAAATCAGCTAGAATTACGATTAATTAAATATTATTTTCCCAACAATTACAACTTAAGTTCAATACTGCAAAAGCCATCTTTTCTGTTGTAGAGGAGAGAAAAAAATATTTTAAGTTAGTATTCTGCAACTGCTATTTTGATTACGTGCATAGAAGGCACACTACCGGCAAAATGTGTTTTGATCCTTCTCCACGCACACTCCACACGTCCGCTCACCCCCCACCCATCTACAGGTCTCCAGAATTCAAGGGACCTGAATGGAACTGAGCATCTCCAGGGTAACCCGCCCCCTTTCCAATCTTTAATAGGGAGAAAAGGAGAAGAGGATTAAAGCTACTGGAAGCGGAAAGATCAGCGTCACGAACAAGTTCATCCATATTACGACCATCTCCCACCCTCCCTCCCCACTTCTTTCTCCGTCTCGTGGTCTCTTCCGGGAGCCGCCACTGTCGTATACAGGGGAGGCGGCCAGCAGCCGTTACCACTGGAGGTGG